TGCTGCCTCAGCTCACAGCTTGTAGAGAGACAGGAGCACTTAGCCAGCTCCCAGGTCTCTGTTCAAAAGAGTCACATGGGCCAGAGCAGCATGTGCTTCACTCCCACCCCAGCCCAGTACCCCCCTAGCATGGTGCCCGGGGGCAACTGCCCCCCTCTGTCTCCCCCTTTGCTATGCCTCTGGATCTCTCCCAGGTCTCATGGGTAGAGCTACTCCAAAGGTTTCCCCTCAGGAATCCTCCTGGTGTCACATGGGGAACTGTCAGAAATGGGGAGGGGGTTTTCCTTTTATTTTTCCTGCAAACATTCGGGCAGGAAATTCCAGCCCAGAACACTGGTTGGCTCCATTCGGGTTCTGAAAACAAAGTCGTTTGGAAATTCCAGGTTCTGTTCCCCAACTTGTTCCTTCCCATGTTGGGGGCTGGAGGCAGTGGCAGGAGTGGCACCAAGGGGGCTGGTTCCCTTTGTGTGATAGGTCCCCCTCTGGCTCCTTGGCCCACTGCAGCAGGAGTGACTGTGGTGGGGGCCAGGAGCCCCCAGGCCTTTTACAATCCCTGGGCCCAACGGCCTTTGTCCCTTTTCCCCTCTCTGTCGGCGGCTTGGCTGTCAGAAACTAGCTCCTTCTGGCTAGAGCCAGGTGCCTTGCTTCTTACCCTTTGTGCTGTGCTGTCCGAACCTTCTCTTCGCCCAGCTCCCTACCCTGCTGGGCGGGTAGCTCAGGGTCAGAGCTCACGGCTGGGGGAAGAGGTATCTGCACAGCGCTCTCTGCAGACCCTGCCGAGGCTCCGGGTGCTGTCGGATCAAGGTTCCCTCCCTGCTCTGCTGCACGGCGCGACCAGGGCTGCCAGATGGTTTCAACAGAAATACTGGGCGCGCTTGACATTACATCACACTCTACATCACCTCTTATCTAGCAACCACCGGACAGTTCTGTTTCCTCATTTCTATTTTCTCAATTTGTTTCCTGAGCAGAAAGCTCAAATACTGAATGGTCTGGTTCAAAACAGGACACCTGGCAACCCTGGGAGCAACCAGACTGTGTGTGCAGAGTCGCTGAGCATGGGCCATAACTCCCAGACCAGGCTGCCTCCCCAGAGTGTCTCCCCTCTTCACCTCCTTCTGCCCCTCCCCCTGTCTAGCACCAGTCACTCTGTCTGGAGCAGCAGCCAGTCGCTCCCTAGTCCTGCAGGCTGTGTCTAGACTGGTAAGTTTTTCGGAAAATCAGCCACTTTTCTGGAAAAACTTGCCAGCGGTCTACACTGGCCGCTTGAATTTCCGCAAAAGCACTGACTTCCTACTGTAAGAAATCAGTGCTTTTTGCGGAAATACTATGCTGCTCTCGTTCAGGCAAAAGTCCCTTTTGCGCAAAACTTTTGCACAAAAGGGCCAGTGTAGACAGCTCATATTTGTTTTCTGCAAAAAAGCCCCAATTGCGAAAATGGCGATCGGGGCTTTTTTGCGCAAAAGCGCATCTAGATTGGCACAGACGCTTTTCTGCAAAAAGTGCTTTTGCAGAAAAGCGTCCATGCCAATCTAGACGCGCTTTTCCGAAAATGCTTTTAACGGAAAACTTTTCTGTTAAAAGCATTTCTGGAAAATCATGCCAGTCTAGACGTAGCCGCAGTGTCTGGTCCCCAGCCTGGGAACCTCCCTGCCCTGGGTGGTCTGGGCCAGTGGTTAGTACCTGCCTGGGTGGAAATTGACCTTGTGTGACTGCACTGGGCCTTGTGTGACCGCAGGGACCAGGCCCCAAGGCCCAGCCTGTTTCCAGCCTTGGAGGGGGGAGAGGTGTGATGGGGAGCGTTTGGGGGAGGGGGAAGCTTTGAGTGAATCACCCAAGTCGCTGGAGCCCTGGGCTGTGGGCTCAGCTCTGACATAGCATTGTCAGCCCTGGCACTCACACAGGAGGACAGGTGATAGCACTGAGCCAGGGTGGGGGACGGGCTGCAGACACCCATGGGGATGACGGTAGGGGGGACAGGAGCAGATGTGTCTGACAGTGGGAGAGGTTGGAGTCAGCTTTGGGAGAGGCTTCTCAAAAACTTAACAACACCCCTCCATAAAACCTCTCCCCCCCAAACCCAGCTCCCTCTAGGTTCATTCCCAGACTTCTGCTCTCTCCTGGAGCTCCTCCAGCCTGTGCACTGCTGCCCACAGAGGTGGGAAACACAGGCCTCGGTTCTGTGGAAATGAACTCCACACACTTCTGTATGAATGTGTCTGGTAAGGAATCGATTAGTCAAAAAAAGGAGCAGAAGCTTTATTTAGACTCTGTTGTTACAGACATACTAGGTGACAGATACTGTGAAATATTTTACCAAAATCCCTGTAACTGGCATGACTATTGTGTTCGGTTGACAAATAAAATATTCAGAATCTTCAAATATTGCCTGCAGAATGTTTAATTTTTGGCACAGAATTTCCCAGGCACAGTTTGGAAGGGGCCTCAACTTGTCATCAAGTCCAGGCCTCAGCTCTGGGGCAGGACCAAGTAAACCTGGATCATCCCTGACAGGGATTTGTTCAACCTGCTTAGAACAGCCTCTGAAGATGAGGAGTCTAGAACCTTCCCTGGAAGTTACTGCAGAGCTTCACTACATCTCAGCTACATTTCTTGGCTGCAGATTAAGACCCCACACTTCTTGTTCTGCCTTGAGTGGACATGGAGAACCAGGGATCCCTGGTTTTTTTTATGGGCCCTGGGCAGGCCCATGTCTCCTCTGGTCTCTGTGTATTTATGGCCAAGATGGTGACTCCAGCAGCGACTGTGTCTCCCTCAGCAGGGAAACGCTCCTGGAGTGTTTCTCTCTTCTGGGGACTCTATTTGGGGAAAGTTGGGTCCTGAGCTGGATCCCCCCTGTCTGAGTGTGATCACCATGGCAACGGATGCCAAAAGAAATATGAGGATACAACAGGAGGGAGGGCTCGTCCAATGAGGCGCTTGGTGTCTCTGTCCCTATCCTGGGCTTTGCCTAGCGTGGCCAAGCCGCGCAACATCTTTGCAGGGCAGGAAAGTGGCTCTGTCAGACGGGGAATCCCAAACCCTTCTGCTGGGCAAGTTTCCTCTGGAGTTCCCTGCCCCTCTGCTAACCCGGCAGCCAGTGAGTTGTTGCCTCCCCCTGCACTCACTGGGTGGGGGGTTGCTCTGGCAGGAGGCACCAGACGCATCATCCCACCTGGGCTCCCATTTTACTTGACATTTTCCTTAGTTTTGAGATTTTTGGAACCAAAATGAGACAAAACGGTCAGTTAGACGCACAAATGGCTTTTGTTAGGTTTAGTTTCAAATAGACATTTTCCTGCCAGTTTTGGATTTTGACACCCAACTCAAAAGTGTCCCGCCTTTCATCGCTAAGTTATGTTGTGGGATGCCCAAGAAGTTCATTGCACATGAACTATTTGGGGGGAAAGATTAATTTTAATTAAGCCAGTTTTGCATTAAAAATGTTGATAAAAATATTGTAGAAAAACTTCAATCAGCTTTTTTACACAGGACAACCAACGATGTGCCCCCTGTAGGTAACAGGGGGGTGAGCTACCAAGGTGTGTTCATGAGGACAATGGGGTCATTTCCCACAGGACTCAGCCAGCTTCAGTCTGTAGGGACTGGCTGGTGGCAGCTTGGATGGGCCAATCACAGCGAGGTTCTTTCCTAGGGCTGGATCTCAAGCTGCTGTTGGGAATTACGGTCCCTGCTGTGCTGGTGCTGGCTGTGGCGCTTTATCTGCTGGGAAGGAAAGGTGGGTATGAGAGTGAGGCCGAGCCATGTTAGCAAATGTACAGACAGATGTGGCAGAGATAAAGAGGTTACTCATGCTGCGTAATATGTGAGATTCTTCAAGATATGTCCCGGTGTCTGTGTCTCTGCATCTCAGATCAGAGATTTTTGATAGCAATGTCCATTTGGCCCACATATGTACTTTTTCCATTTCATCTCCGTTGCTATATAGCAGCAGCTGGGACAGGAGCAAGGCTGGTGGTTAGTGATGCGCACCAACTCTCAGAAGCCTTGGAATTAGCAAAGCATCTCACTGTGATGGCAGACCTGGGTCTGGTTTCTGATACAGCTCTGTCATTCTCAGCCTGACTGACTAAGAATTTCTTTTCTGTGTTAATAACAGCCCTTTAGAGTATCAGAGCTATACACTCCAGGAGTGCTGGTAACCCTGTGTCTGCTGCAGAGCTCACAGTGCTGCCATGGGACTGGGCTAAGTAATGGGCCTGATTTCAGCCCCAAACTGTTCTCTCAGCCCTGCCCTGGGGGTTCGGCATGTACCTGCTCAGCACCATGTGTTGCATGTGTTGTCTCTGCCCAGGGACTCTACTGGAGAGTCGCATGAACTTACCAGTGAGCTGTTTCAAGTATTTTGAGGAGACAAGGAAAAAAGACTATCAAGGGTTCAGTGTGGGTCATTTTTCCCAGAGTGACATGGGGCTGCTCCAAACTTACGTACATCTACACTGTGCTGGGAGGGAGCTTCCCAGTTTGGGAGGGCAGACAGATATTAAATCTGGTCAAGTCAGTGTGCTGAAAGATACAATAGTACCTGAAGTAGCTTAGGTTGGGCATGCACACCTCCCCCCCCCCCCCCCCCCCCACACCCACTCACACAGACCTGCAAACAGCTCTCAGGCTATGTCTACACTACAAAGATATTGCACAAAAGGCTCATGGAGCTTCCACACCTCACATGTGTTTTTGCACAGGTAAAACAAAAGAGCAGAGGGGTTTTGTGCAATTGGAATTGCACAAGGAATAACTCCTTTTTGTGCAAAAGCTCTTGTGCAAAAAGGTGCATGTGGACGGGGAACAGGGGTTTTTTTTGCACAAGAAGAGGGAAGAGGAAAAAGCACAGGTGCCTTGGTGGCCATTCTGTGAATTGCTATCAGTGCTTTCTTTCAAGATAGCGTTCATGAAGTGTGGACGCGCTCTTGCGCAAGAAGTTTTTGTGGAAGATCTCTTCTGCAAAGAGCTTTTTGCTCAAGAAGCCTGTAGTGTAGACATAGCCTCAGGGGCAGAGGCTCCATTCCTGGTTGGTGGAGCTCCAGGAGTTCTGGTTTCCACTTAAAACAATCACAGAACAAGGAAGTCACCTGTGAAACTAGGTTTCCCCTGCTTATTGCTGGCTTCCCTATGCTACCTGTTCCTGCTTCCTGACTCTGGTCTCCTAGTAAGAGTAACTCACCCTCTGCAGTAACTGAGGTTCTTCGAGATGGGTGTCCCTGTGGCTGCTCCACCGTAAGTGCTTGGACACCACAGTGCGCCCAGCCAGAAGATTTCTATAGTATTGCTTGTAAATAGGAAGTTCATGAATGCACAGTCCCCTCACATGTCGGGACACTAATGCACATGTGCGGGCTAGGGATGAGTGATGATGCCTTAAAGCAGAAGGGAGGAAGGCGGATGGCGGAGCACTCACAGGAACACCCATCTTAAAGAACCTCAGTTACTGCAGAGGGTGAGTGACCCTCTCTTCTTCTTTGAGGCTCTCCCTGTGGGTGCTCCACCATAGGTGACTATGAAGCAATATGTGAAAAGGAGGTAGGGCTTTGGTTGGTGCAGTGTCCTTATGAACAGCCATGAGGATGGAGTGGCTGAAAAGGGTTCCCCTAGAGGGGTATGTGTCGAGCACATAGTGAGTCACGAAAGTATGGGAGGATGACCAGCTAGCTGATTTACAGATATCTAACAGGGGAATGCCCTGGATATATGTGGTTGATGCAGCCTTGGCTCCGGTGGAGTGTGCATGAAGTTGTGGATGCAGATCCTTGCCAAAGGCCTGAGTCAGCCAGTCTTATGCACTCCGCTATCCATTTGGAGAGTCTCTGAGAGGAGATGGAGAGTCCCAGATATGGTTCTGTAGTTGAAATGAATAATCTGTTGGTTCTGCAGATTTGTGTGATTCTATCTATGTAGAACATGATGGCCCTGAGGAGATCGAGGGTTTCAAGCGTCACCTGTGCCTCACTGTCCTGAGGTTTGGGAAAGAAGACAGATAAGCTGATAGGTTCATTGCAATGGAACGTGGAAGGGACCTTTGGAATGAATTTGGGGTGAGGCTAAAGCACCACCTGGTCTTTATAGAAGACTGTAAATGGTGCGTCCATCATGAGGGTCTCAATTTCTCCCACCCATTTGGTGGATGTTATAGCCACAAGGAAGGCCACCTTCATGGAGGGGGGAGTAATGTGCATGTTGCCATTGGTTCAAAGGGCTTTATAGTTAGGGCCTTTGAGAAACTTTTAGTTATGGGGTGTACATCTGTTGGTTGGTGCAGAGCTGTGATTGCAGTGGGATGGATTTTAAGGGAGCTCAGGGAAAGCCCCGAATTCCTAAGCTCCATGATGTATTGCAGGATCGCAGGTAGTGGAGCTGAGGCTGCATCAAGGTTGTTTCTTTGGGACCTAGTGGAGAAACGTCGCCATTTGTACAGGTAAGATTTTCAAGTGGATGTTCTGCGACTATTGAGAAGAATTTCTTGGACTTAGTTTGTGCATTGTGATTCTAGTGGAGTAAGCCACTGAGGAACCATGCCTGGAGCTAGAGAGTGTGGAGATGTGGGTCATGAAAGTGACTGTGGTGCTTGGTGAAGAGATGCAGGAGCTGAGTGAGATGCCTTGGCCACCTGGATGACGTTTGGAGCAGGTAAGTGTGCCACATTTGTCTGGGCCAGTCCAGCGCTATGAGGATAACCCTGGCCCTGTCCATTTTGGATCGTGCTGACCACTTGATAGAGAAGAGGTATCGGTGGAAAGGCATAGAGGAGTGCTATGTCCCAGTGGATTGTGAATGTGTCTCCCAGGGAGTGTGAGCCGATGCCCGCTCATGAGTAATACTACGGGTACTTTTTCTTGGTGTGGGTCGCAAATAGGTCTATCTGGGGAAAAGCCCAGCATTGGAAAATTTGGTGCAAGATGGTGGAATCTATTTGCCACTTGTGTTTGGAGGAGAAATTGCTGCTTAGAGTGTCCACTGTTGTGTTGTCTTTGCCTGCAAAGTGTGAGGCACTTAGGGTTATGTTGCACACAGCAAGAAAGCCCCAAACACAACACACATGTCCCTCAAGAGTCCTGTACCTGCTTCTCCTCTACCTGGAGAACTCCCTCTCTAAAACTCCATCTGTGTGTGGAATGTGCACGGAAGTATGTGCATGTCTGAAGACAAACACCTAGCTCTCGGTGCTCTGCTGATCAGCTGAGCGGAATTTGAATCTCTCCTGAGAAGACATCCAAGTGCCCAACTTACAGGGAACACTGCTGGAGACCCTATTTGAGATACCCTTCCAACTTCCCTGTGATCATCTGATAACTACCCTCTTGGAACAGATTTCCCATCTTATAGTGATTCCATCTGAGTTGTTTCCTAAGTTTTTTATGCGGGGATCATGCGAGACAGTGTCTGAAGACTTACTAATGTCGTGAGACATCACATCTCTGCTTTCCCTCAAACACAGGACTTGATATACTGTCCAAGAAACCTATTACGTTGATTTGACATGATTTGATCTTGTTTAGTCCAGGCTGAGGGTTACTTACCAACTTATATTCTTCCAGATATTTGCAGACTGATTGCTTAATTATTTACTCCATTAATTTTCCCAGTACTTATGTTAAACTGCTGACTGGTCTGTAATTCTCTTAGGTGTCCTTATTCTCCTTTATATAGATGGGCAGTACATTTGCCTTTTTCCTGTCTTCTGGAATCTCTCTCATATTCCACAAATTTTCAATGATAGCTAATGAATGGCTCAGACACTTCCTCAGTCAATTTTTTGAGTATCTAGGATGCATTTTATCAAACCCTGTTGCCATGAAAATATCTAACTTGTCTAAGTACATTTTTAAGTTCCTTTTCCTTTATTTTAACTTCCGATCCTACCTCATTTTTACTGGCATTCACTATGTTACACATCCAATTGCTGCTAACCTTTCTGGTAAAAACGGAAACAAAAAAGTCATTCAGCTATTCTGCCATTTCCACATTTTCTGTTATTTGGAGCTAGACACAGAGATGTGCTATGTGCGGCTAGGTGCTCAATAAGAACAAGTTAATTACAGATACCCAATGGCCACACTCTCAGGCCCTGCACAGGAGCCAGCTGTTAGGATAGGAGCAGGGCAAGTGGTTAGTGCTATGCACCAACACTCTCAATTGTCCAATTACCTGACTTCAGGTCCTGAATCATCTTCTCCACAGTCTCTGAAATGAGAAAGTGAAAAGAATCATAGAATCACAGAGTTGTAGGATTAGAAAGGCCCTCGATAGATTATCTAGTCCAGTCCTCTGTAAATGCATTGCAGTTTTTTGGGGTTTTTTTTGTGACAGTGTCACACTGTTGATTCGTATTTAGCTTTTGATTCACTATGACCCCTACAATCCCTTCCACTGTACCCCTCCCCAGGCTGTCATTTCCTGAGCAGACATCCAAGTGCCCAGCTTACAGGGAGTAATGACAGTGACCGTACTTGAGATGCCCTTCCCACTTTCCCATCAGTACCTAATAACAAGCCACTTGGAACAGATTTCCCATCTTACAGTGACTTTATCTGAGTTAATTCCTAAGTTTCTACTTAGTTGCTAGTAACCTTTCTGGTAAAAACGGAAACAAAAAAGTCATTAAGCTATTCTGCCATGTCCACATGTTCTGTTATTTTGAGCTAGATACAGAGATATTCAATGTGATCCTGAGTGCCCGATAATGATGGGTTAGTTACAGACACCCAATGGCCACACTCTAAGGGCATATCTACACTAGCCTCCTAGTTCAAAATAGGGTGGTTCGAACTAGGGTGGCTAATGTAGGCATTAGAAGCTGCAAATGAAGCCTGGGATTTAAATATCCCAGGCTTTATTTGCATCTTTCCATCCCGGCGCCATTTTAAAATCCCCTTTACTAACTGCCTGTGGCTACATGCAGCAGTGAAACATTAATTCAAACTAATTCCTTAGTTCAATTTAACTGTTACACCTCATGGAATGGTGTAACAGCTAACTCGAACTAAGGACGTAGTTCGAATTACAGTTTAGCTGCCGCGTGTAGCCACGGGCAGTTAGTTCGGATTTAGGGGATTGAAAAATGGCGCCCGGACGGGAAGATGCAAATAAAGCCCGGGATATTTAAATCCCAGGCTTCATTTGCAAGTTCGAATGCCTACATTAGCCTCCCTAGTTCGAACTGTATTGTGTGGGGCTGGGTTACTCAGTGAGCTTAATGCACAGAGACAGTCCTTTCCACTGCCCTTATGCAACACTGAACACAGAGTCAGCTCCCAGGGAATAACAAGCAATCTTCCAGCCCTTGGATACTGCAGGGGAGTTCCAGGGAGGCCAAATATAATTATCACCTGAGCTGGGATTTTGGCAGAAAATGGGATAAGGTCCCATCCCCTCGCACAGCACTGCCCTGAGTATGAGAGCTGAGGGCCACAGCTTTACATCTCATTAAAAAAATACATTTCATACAGCACTGAGCCTAGACACCCCAGTGGGGTCAGTGCTGAGTGTGAGGGGAGAGTGTTCCCTACTGAGTCCTGCACAACAGTTCCTGCAGCACTGGACCCTATTGCTGCACTAAGCTCAGTGTTGGGGTACCCTCAGTAGGACAGGAGGCTCTGGCTTGGCAAACAGCACCCCCTAGTAATGTGTCTCTCTCACCTGCAATCCGTAGCTCGGTGGTGATTTCTTGGCTCCAATCTGGGTCCATCACAAAGCAGTGGTATCTCCCAGCATCTGCCTCTTGGAGCCGTTTCAGCTTCAGGGAGACATTCCCGTTGTTGAACTCCTGTGGGAACAGCTCTGTCCGGCTCTGGTAACCCTCCCCTGGCTGGTCCTTGGGACCCTCATCCGAGTACTCATGAACTAGGATAAATGCTGTGCTGTATTTCCTCCACAATACTTCCATGTTGGCCAGTCGGGCCTGGGGTGAGAGCTGGCAGGGTAACACCACATCCTGGCCCATTATCCCCACCATGGGGTGCGGAGAGCCATGTAGAGAGAACTTCTCTGGAACAGACAAAGGCAGGACCAGATTAGGTGTGAGCAAAGAGGAGAGGGCATCTGTCCTGGATTATATCTGCCTAACAACAGGTGGGAAGAAGTTAACCCTATACTGTGGTCTGAGGAAGCCATGCTCTCTCATCCCCTGCTGGGCATGCTCCAAATTAAACCTCAGTATAAAAGGAAGCAGCATAGCTCAGTCTTCCATGACTGTGGAGGAGAGAGGACTTGTATTGCAAGCTGCCACATGGGAGCTGCCATAGCCCTGGAGACACTATAGCACTGAGCCAGAGGTACTTGAACAGAATTACCATGAGGAGTTTCAGAGGCACAAACAGTTACATGATGCAAAAACAGTGCTCCGTCTGAACTGAATCCTTCTTCCACAAAAGCTTACGCAAATGAAGTGTGGAGTAGAATATCCTCATGCTTCATTTGAATAATTCATTAGGGGCTGTTTTTGCACAACAGGCTTTGTGCGAAAAGGAGATGTGTAGACAGCTCCTTTTTGCACAAAAGCCCCCTCTTGTGCAAGTGCCGTTCTTCCTGAAAAAATGAGGAAGAACGGCTCTTGTACAAGAGGGGGTTTTGCACAAAAAGGGGATGTCTACACAGCTCCTTTTTGCACAAAAGCCTCTTGTGCAAAAATGGTCCTTAATTAATTATGCAAATGAAGCGTGGCGATATTCTACTCCACGCTTCATTTGCGTAAGCTTTTGTGGAAGAAGGATTCAGTTCAGACGGAGCACTGTTTTTGCATCATGTAACTGTTTGTGACCCCTGGGACAGGAAGGGACGTAATGGGGATTCAGATGTTACCAGAGAGAGCACACGGCACCAAGAGGAGGATCCCCAGGCTGCACACACAGAACCACCATCGCATCTCCATGGGAATATCCCAGGTAGGGACCTGTTGGGAGAGAGCAGGGATGATTAATACCCTCCAGCCTGCATGAGGGGCCAGCAGGGCAGTGAACACGTCCCACCCATCATCTGACCCCACCCCCTCTGCTCCCAGCTAAAGCATCTCCCCAGGGACAGAAGAGAATTCACCCCTCCCAGGCTGCTCCATCCCCTGGCCTGGCACCAGGAATTTACAGCCCTGGGCCGGGCCATGTATCCACCCCCATTTCCTCCCCTGGTTGGTTCTCTGATCATACATTAGTGCAAGTGCCCCAGATTCCAGTGCAAGGTGACCTTTGTGCATATTCTGTAGTATTTTTTCGGAACGCTCATTTGGATTAGAATCATGATGCCTTTTACAATTATCCATCTGTCCTAAGTTTATGTCTGCAGTTCTAACCATCTCTTATAATTGGACAGCAGTGCCTTATTTCCCCAGACCACCCTTTGATTATCACTTCTGTTAGAATCTTCAACTATTCATCTTTCTCCAGTCCCCACTTGTTAGCTCCTAGTGTTGGCCGCTGTCGGCAGACAGGCTACTGGACTAGATGGACCTTTGGTCTGACCCAGTACGGCCATTCTAAGCTTAGGGCGCAGGGTCGGGGGTTTCAGTGGACCACCTTGATTTTCATGCAAACCTGCTCCTGGGTGGCCAGGCTGGCAGCTCTCCTGCCCCATACGGCCACTTTCCTGTGCCTAGTGCGGAGGTCATGGATGAGGTCCACGATCTCCGCACTAGACCAGGCGGGTGCCCGCCTCTTGCGGACTTGGGCAGGCTCCCAGGAGCCACCAGCCTGGTCCCGGGAAGAGGCGAAGGGCTGGGTGGCAGCGGGTGGCTGGCTCAAGCCTTGCCAGGTGCAGGGTCTGCTGGCTGGGTGCTGGCAGGCTTGCCCCTGGCACAGGCACTGTAGCCAGTCAGTGCCCCTTTAAGGGCTCCGGGGCCGGTAGGGGGGCAGACGAGTTTCCCTGGTGGTACCCAGAGTGGCCACCAGGGCAAGCTGGGGAGGGCTAGCCTCCCACTAGTTCGAATTAAGTGGCTACACAGCCCTTAATTCGAACTACTTAATTCGAAATAGGCATTAGTCCTCGTGGAATGAGGTTTACCTAGTTCAAATTAAGCACCCCACTAGTTCGAATTAAGTTCGAACTAGCGGTTCGTGTGTGTAGCGCCTATCAAAGTTAATTCAAACTAACGTCTGTTAGTTCGAATTAACTTTTGTAGTGTAGACATACCCCTAGAGAGTTGTGAAATAATGCCATCAGGGCCTTGTGGTCCATTCCAACATCCACTGTCTGGCCATGAGTATGTTGATTGAATCTCTGACAGGAAAACAATATTTCTGAAAGCGCCTTCTCAATTCAGCTGTATTGGATTTCTGTCTCAGTCAGTGATTTGGATGCATATACCACTAGCTGCCAACAGCACTCATGTTTCTATCAATTCACTGCTTCTATCCCAGGTCTCGTCCACACAGGCTTTTGGAGACAAAACAGTGAGAGCATTTGCAGTACGATGCAACCGTTGTTAGCAAAACCATCCAGTTTTGTTGACAAAAAAACTTACTTCCCATGAGACAGTTTTGTCTTTTCCCCTCCCTTTATTGTCAACAAAAAGCCAGTGTGGATACTGCTGTTTGTTTTATAGAGAGAACTGGCTTCCACCAGTATCCCACAATGCCTGCCCTCATTGTTATGCTCAGTATTTTGTGATCTCTGTTGTCCTGCAGGCATGTATTCCCTCCCCCTTTCAAAGCTCCGGGAAGTATCTGACAGCTGAGTGAGCTACTCCTTTTGGGAAACAAACAAAAATAAATAATTGGAGTGCTCCTGCTGCAGCTGGAGAGACAGTTGTGCTGCTTTGACATTCCTCAGCATTGAGAGTTCATAGAACTAGGAAGGAAACTCAAAAAGCACAGAGATCTGCTCTACCTTCCCATAACACTTGTTGACAGCACTTTTGTCACCAAATCTTCCCAGTGTAGAGACAGCCTCAGCCTGCTACAACTTTAATAGGCTTGGCTGATGCACAGAACTTCAATGTTGACTCTTGTAGAGTTTCAAACCTTCCTATGATTCTCCTGTTCTGCACCCAGCAACATTCTTTTTTTTTCTATGCGGTACCACAAAAATAACTTTTTGGGTACGTCTAGACTGTCGACAAAGCTTCTGTTGACAAAGAGCGTCTAGACTACATCTAGTTCTGTCAACAAAGCAAGCTGCTTTGTCGATATGAGAGTGTAGATGCAAAGGGCAGTGTAGATGCAATAACATCTTCTGTCGACAGATGTCTGTTGCCAAAAGGCGTTATTCCTCATAAAATGAGGTTTACCACCATCAACAAAACTGCTGCGTTCTGTCGACGTTATGTCGACAGAACTCAGCAGTAGTCTAGATGCAGGTATCGTTTTGTTGACAAAAGTACACTTTTGTTGACAAAACCCTGTAGCCTAGATACACCCTTTGTGTAGCTAGATTAAGTATGAATTTTCAAAGACAATTAATCAATCCCAGGACCCAGTGCAGAACTTTTTTTCACTGGGGACATGGCATCATTTCAATGTCTGAAACTTTCTTCTTAACAGATTTTACAACTTCCATCAAAATAATCTCCAACAAAAGTCAGTTCTGTAACACATTTCTCCCTAATTATTTTGAAGTTTACAGCTCTTGTTACATACAAGACTTCACAAAGTCTACAATCATGCATCTCTTCAATTGTGACCCAAATGGTAAAGTCCCTTTATAACACCAACAAGCAGAACTGAACCTGGGACCTCTAGAGCTTAGTACATGAGCCTCTACTCCTAACATTAAAAACTAGCCAGCCCTTAGCTAACTCTGTAGAGGAGACTCATTCTTTCACTCAGTAAGGGTACGTCTACACAACAGGATATGTTTGAATTAAGATACACAGCTTCAGCTATGTGAATTGTGTAGCTGAAGTCCAAGTACCTTAATTTGAATTTTAGCACTGTCCACACTGCAGGAACATGAAGGGAGAACACTCTCCCTTTGACTTCCCTTACTCCTCATGAAAGCAGGACAGACATCAACTAGAGTGATCCTCTCAGTTTGAATTACCGTGTCTTCACTAGACCTGTTCATTTGAACCCTCAAAGATAGACAGTGGCTGCTTCGATCTTCTCTGTAGTGTAGACATACCTGTGTGGTCTCAGTCCATGGGATAGTGCCACTACTCAGAACGTGTGTGGGTTACACCAGTGGTGTGCAACCTTTTTCCCGGTGCAACCCCCAGGAAAATTTTGATTGAACAAAGAAAAAAAAAAGCAGCCACCATAGCCACGGGCTTGCGCACCCCTCTGATCGCCTTGCACACCCCATAGGGTATGCGCACCACACTTTGGAGACCACTGAGCTGTGCAATTGGTGTAGATCAATTTGCATGGCTTATTTTGAGTTCAGCCCTGTTGTGTAGATGCACCCTCTAGCTGGGACTGATTGACATGCTGGGGACTGTGTGAGAGGTGAGCAGGACTGGTAGTTTTCATCGCAAAACAGTGTAAAAAGCAACAAAGGATGTAGAATTGATGGGTCACAATGGTCAGATTCGACCCTGGGGGGTGTTTAAAGGACTTTAGCTCTGCGTCCCTCACATCCAAGGTGAGTGATCTCCAACAGGCCTCATGGCAGAGCTAGGATCCTAGTGGGGATTTCAAGGAGGACAAGCTGGTGGCTTTGTGATTGCTGAGGGGAAGCTGTTCCCGGGCCTGGCAGCAGCATGGAAAAACACGGGGGCACTAGAGAGGACAGGCCGACATTCTAGGCTGCCATGGTTGGCAGAGCGAGAGCTGGTGGCTTGAGGCACTGCTGGGTCCAACAGGCGATACGGGGTCTAACCCCACATGACCCTTATGCGCAGACCAGGCCTGTGCGCTCCGTGCCTTGTGCCGGGTGCACACCTGTTCTATCACAGTGTCATGTCCCACAAGACACAGCTTGGAAGGTCTGAGCCCAGCTAGGCTCAGCCCCACCCAGTGCCAGGCTGAGAGCTCTGTGAGGCAGGGACGGTCTCTCACTGTCTGTATGAGCCACCCCCAGCCCTGAGATCTGTCTGGGTCTGTGCAGTGCCCAGAATAATGGCAGCTAATTGCTGCTGGAGTCTCCGTAGCACTTGGCACAATGAGGACCCCTTAGCTGGGGCCTGTAGGTGCTATAAGTATACACATCATAACAATAGCCAGTGAAGCCCTCCCACTTCTGGCCTGGTAGCCCCTCCTCCTAGGGGCATCAGTGGAGCAGGGCAGGTCTGTGCAGCCTGTGCATCCCTTCTCACCCTCCAGCTGTGCAGTGAGGGAACAAAGGGCTGAGAAGTGGCTCACACACCCACCATTAAGGGCTGCTCAGCAGTGAGGGAGGTGGGAATGGGCCATGCAGGTGGGATGGGTCGTGCTTCCAGGGGGCAGGAGAGTGAGCAACCCCCAAAACCAAAAGATAAAGAGTAATATCAGAGAAGGACCTACCTTATGGACTCAGCACGTCTCAGGAGACAGTATTCAGAATGCTAGGGGTCCCAGCCCCACACAGAGCTCCCAATGGATGTTCTGGGGCAGGTGAGGAAATGGATCCCGGAGCTGTGTGTGAACTCTGATTGGGGAAAGTGAAAGCACCAGGGTGTCTGTCATACATTAACCTGGCAGGGGTGTGATCTGGCCAGGAGCTAGGGCGGTGTTCAGTTATCTGTGGAGACTGGGGAGCAGGGAGGAGTTTGTATGATAATAGGTTCCGGTTCATCCTCCCAACCCCCAAGAGGTCCACGGAAGGCCAGTTCTGAGCACTGTTACACCCTCCATTGGATCAACTCCCCACACTTGTCAAAGGATTTTCCATAGGAAATTGAAGTAAAAAAGGGACCTAAAAGTGTGTGGTCTGATCAACTAATGAGACCCCAAAAGTCCAGTTACTGCAGGTGGGGGAGGAACCAGGACATGACCCGCGCAGCAGCACCTGCTTAGCTGGAGACACTTACATAACTGATTCCTCTCCTTGTTTTTCTCTAGATCAGTGGTTCCCAACCTTCTTGAGCATACTGACCCCTTTTCAAGCTATTACAATTTCATGGCCCACCCCCTCCCTCCAGAAGGAAAAAAAAAAGAAAGAGCAAAAGAGAAAAAAAGAAAAAAGAGAAAAGAGGAAGAGAAAAAATAAAAAAGAGAGAGAAAAAGAAAGAGAAAAAAGGGAAAAAAGAGGGGGAAACAAGAAAAAAGAGAAAAAGAAAGGTTTGGGTCCCTCACAGTGGGTCTCATCCTTATTTTTAAACATTTCTTGGACCACCTGCAATACCGTCATGGACCACCAGGGGTCGGCAGACCTCTGGTTGGGAACCACTGATCTAGTTATTTTACAATGCTAGCTCTGTGTTAGGCACATGGTGACACTCACAGTCTAACACCTGAACCCTAAAGCCCCACTGGAGAAAGAGGAACATGCAGCGTGGGTATGGAATACTGAAACAGGAACAGAGACCTTGTTCCTTTGCCCCTCGTCCAGTACCAGGCCACCGAACCCCGAGTGCATTTTGCTGTTATTAATTATATAACTGGACCCTCTAGAGATGCCAACCAAGGTCAGGACCCTTTGTGCTGGTGCAGCACAGACACTAATGGCTGGTGTGTTGGGGAAAATTGACCAGTTATAACAGGATGAGTGTTGTGGTTAATTTCACATGTGTAGTTCTCCTGGCTGATTTCCCTGTGCAGACGAACCCTTAGTGAGAGAGAGTCCTTGTCTGGAAGAGTTCCCAACCTATGGGGAAGATATCAGAAAATGCCCAAGGGATTTAGGAGCACAGGACAGTGGGCACAGAACAGAGTCTCACTTATGTTCCTAAATCTCTTAAGGGCTTTGAGAATTGCCCCTTGGACAAGGCAGAATTATTGTCCCCATTTCACAGATGGGGGTTGAGTCACAGAGAGAGGAAGGAGGAGGCCCAAGGAGGCAGAGGAATGGTCCCCCTATGCACTGCCCTAGTGGGACTGCCTAGAGAAAGGATCTGAGACCTCGCTCCCACTGCCTTTACCCAGAGGCTTGTCTGACCTGAGGACTCCCTGTCCACTCTCCTGCGATAGGTTCCAAAAGTGCAATAGGTAGCTCAAGTCTGCAATGAGGAGTAACGGTAGTTCGAATTAGGAGCCACGGGCAGGGAGTTTGAACTACGGGGCATTTAAAAATGGTGGCGCCCGGGAACATGCAAATATTTAAATCCTGGGCTTCATTTGCAAGTTCGAATGACTACATTAGCCACCCTAGTTTGAACCAGGGTGGCAGTGTAGACATACCCTGACAGATTTCCTCTGAGGCTTTCTGCTGCCTGGCTTCACCCAGGGGTGTTAACAGCTAATCACAAGAGTTTCCTTCTTTCCTACATTTCTTTGTCCTTTTCCCCTGGTTTCACCACTTGCTTAGCCACAGTGATTGCAGCTCCAAGCTGCTCCATGGCATGGGCATCTGGTATGCTAGGCTGGAGAAGATATTGCCTTCCCAAACCACCAGCCTACCCCTGCCCATACTCCACCCCCAGAATGCCTACTATAGGCATGCTGGGGATGCATTGTTGCTGCCTCCAGCACTCACTCTCCCTGTGCTCCTGTCTCAGGAGGCTGGAGTCACACGTCCTCCACTCTCCCTATGCTCCAGGGACAGGGAGATTGCAGACATATACCCTCCACCCTGCCTGGACTCCATCCTTTTTCCCTCCCCATGGTTGTTGGGACACACCTGTTACCCCATCATGGGAGGGAGGACTCAGCAGAAAGAGGGCTAAGGGCTTGCACCCCCCAGCTCTATCTTCTATGGATGCTTTTTTTCCCTAACTTTCTTGTCTTCTTCAGAGAAGCAGAAGAGACAGCCAGGCAGCATGGCATGCAGAGCCCTGCGCCCTTGATTGGGCAGGACTCTTTAAGCAGTTGCAGGGCCATGCTTCCATGCAGCTTAGAGGGAACCTTGGCCCAGGCCCTTTAAGTTGTTGCTAGAGCCCCTCGTGACATGCTCTGGGCAGCTCTGAGGGCTGGCTGGGGGTGGAGATCCTGCCCCTTGTGCCTGAGGTCCTGCTTCTTCCAGGAGCATAGAGCCATCCAAACCACTTTGCACAGTGGCCCTGCAAGATATCAACCTCTCCTCAGTAGATATCTCTGTAGATATAGAGCAGGGTTGGTCAACCCATTTAACAAAGAGAGTCAAAACAGCAGCAGAAAAAATGTGAAAAGCCTCACAAGAATTGTTAAGAGGAAAGAAAAAAAGCCCCCCAGAACAGAATTGTTGAGCAAAACTAATATATATATATTTAAAAGGAGGCTGCCCCTTTAAGATGGACGCCATCTTGGGTGTCATTTTTAAAACCCATAGATTTTTTTGATTGTGCTTCCTTCTCTAACCCAGACAGACTGAGTGGACTGCTGAAGTGAGTCAGGGGATGGCAGAAGTGCATCCTCTCCAAGGCCAGCCATGTGGGACTGACCCGAGTGACATTCAACACACAGGACTTCATGTGTCACTTCTTACCCCATTTTTATTCGTCAACAGTTTTGAATCCAGTGTGGCTGCTCTGCTTGTCCCACCCTGCTTCTGGAACTGGTCCTAAATCTTTCTCTTATTCTTGCTCTCTCATTTTTAAATCCTTTTTGGCATGCCACATTTTTATCATCAAATTAAAATTCAGCCACTTTACATTGGCACATAAACATGTTTGTGTTGTAAAGCACTTTTTATATGGGCATTTGCGATGGATCATGTCCTTTCAGATTTCCAGGGCAAATCTGAGAGCAGATATGGAAATGACAACAAACCTGTGTCTGCACAAACCTAGGGTCTGCTCCTACAACCCAAAGCAGCATGTGCAGCCCCAGCACATTAAGAAAGCTAGTGTTTAAAAGAAGCAACATTATTGTAAATAAACAATGGAAAAATTATTTGAAAATCCAATTAGTTCACCTGGCTGCCTCTGTGCCTGCCCACTGCATCCTTGGGGTCTCTGTGCCACCACTCCCCGGCATTCCCTGACATCTCAGGAGCAAGAGCCCCTGCTCCTGCTATAACAGAGCACACACATGGATGGGGCACTGCTCCTTTCCTTCAGCAGCACTTTTGTGTCCATCCCAGGACTGCCTCCACCCCCTCACTCACATGACACAATGTGGGGAGTCTTGACCTTAGGGGCACCCAGCGAAATTGCTGCCCTCTCCCCAGCTACAAGCAGCTTCATCTGCTCACTCACACTGAGGCTCTAGCTCATTCTAGAGGTGAGCCCCATGGGGAGGGGCAGGAGCCATTTTCCCTTCGCTCTCAGGCAGACTGGTCAGGAGAGACTGGAGCTCCATATCCCAGCCTGTGCCCCCCAGCTTATGGGGAGGGGCAGGAGCCATTTTCCCTTCGCTCTCAGGCAGACTGGTCAGGAGAGACTGGAGCTCCATATCCCAGCCTGTGCCCCCCAGCTTCCCACCCCCCAGGCTGTCCTTGGCCAGGGCAGTCGGAGCAACACAGGGCCAGGCCCTGCCTCCTTGGGGGGCAGAGAGAGGAGCTGGGGCTTCCAGCCAGAGCCCTGCCAAGCACAAACTCTTCTGACTGGCAGGGGGGGACAGAGTTTGACTCCCCCTCCCATGAGATCCAGGAGTTGGGACTGAGAAGAGCTCCAGGCTTCTTGCTAGTGACACAGGATGGCCCCAGGGATCAGCCCTTCTGTGCCCAGAACCTGCACCTGCCCATGGATCCTGACCTGCCTCTTTCCCCCACAGCACCTCAGCACCTGGCTGGAGTCCTGGCTGCCCTGAGAGGGATCTAGGGCCCTCAGCAGCACCACAGCCCTGCTCCAAGTCACCACCACCCTCCTGGCTTTTGACGTAAGTGACCTCAGAGCTCAGCCCCCTGGGCTGTGGGGCCTGTTGGTGCAGGGTTAGGAGCATTCCCCTGGGGAGGCAGAGCTGGGAATGGGCCAGGCTTGATCCACATTCTCCTTTCCTCAGGGAGGGGGAGACCCTGGGCCTTTCAAGGGATCATGCTCCAGCTCTTGTGTGACTGCACGTGGCCCTGGGGACTTGTTACTGGCCGTTAGTTTATCCACTTGTTCCAAATGCCCTGTCGTGATATGTCAGTCAGGGGCCATTCCTCAGGTTTGTCTCCTCACAATAACAGCCCTGGACTGGGAATCTCTATTCATGGCCCCGCCCCAGGGGATGTCTCTGTCCAAGCCACGTGCTGCTCTGCCTCCGTTGGCTTTCCCCAACCTTTCGCTTAAAAACCACTCAGCGTCCATTTGCATGGGATGTGCCAGCCACAGGATGCTGAGGGAGTCGGCTCTTCTCTCGCCCCTCAGACCTCTGCCCACTGGCCTAATTGGGCCTTCTTATTTTGGACCCATTCGGAGACATGAGCTGGCTGGCCCAGGAGGGGGGGGCACAGCCTGTATCAGCTCCTCCTACACCACAGGAGTAAAGGACCCAGCCGGGAACTGGGCTCCAGTGACACCCTGAGGGTGCCGGCAGCGGGGGGATGGGACTTAGTCCATTTCTCCCAGACTGGCCCAAGGGGGGACACGTCCCTTGTGTTCCTGTCCTTCTTCCCCCTTTGCACTTCCACTGGGCAGCC